TGAATCCGTTGATGAAAGTCAGGCCCAGTATAATGTCATGCCTCACCTTCAAGGAGGAAATGAGGAATCCTTTCCTGACCTAAATCATCCTCGTCTTAGTGGAAATGAAATGGGCAGAAATCCAAGAGCAATGAGTCATAATACTCCATTTATGACTCCCCCATTCCAGCAGATGGCTGAATTCTTTCGTCACTTAGCTGGGACAATGTCAGAACCAAGTGAAATGAATTTTGAGAAGATGAGAAAAATGGGCGGCGTTGAATTTGAAGGCACTACAGATCCCACGGTAGCTTAACAATGGCTTGAGCGCATGGAGAGGGTCTTTGAACAACTGGAGTGTACTAATGCTGCCAAATTTAAGTATGTTATCTCTCTTTTACAAAAAGATGCCTATGATTGGTGGGTAAGTGTGCCAAATGCAAAAGCAAAACCTCTGGTGCTGACTTGGGATGACTTTGTGAAATCATTTCGTGCAAAATATGTTCCCCTTGTCTATTGTTATGCTAAAAAGAAAAAGTTCCTGAATTTAAGACAAGGAAGTATGTCTATTGCAGAGTATCAACAAAACTTTCTCAGGCTTTCTCGCTATGCTAAAGGTATTATTGATGGTGAAAGAGACAAGTGCAGAAGATTTGAAGAAGGTTTGAATGGTTACATTCGAAAATCAGTGGCAATCTTACAACTTGATGATTTTTCCAAGCTGATTTCAGCTGCACTTACTTGGGAAAGAATTAACAAGGAAGAAGCTAGTAGGAGAGAAAACAAGTTTAGGAAGGGTAATTCAGAATATGGCGGTCCATCCAAAAAGGGAAAGTTTGACTATTCCAAGACCGAGAGTACACATAAATCATTACATCATAAGCAGAATAAGTCAAATTTTTCTACTGCCAGTACTCCAAGTTATGGCCAAGGCAAAACTCATACACCTACTTGTGCACAGTGCGGGAAGAATCATTATGGTGCATGTAGACGAGCTTCTGGTGCTTGTTTTAATTGTGGAAGTATAGATCATAAAGTGAAGGATTGTCCTAATCCTAATCCTCTTTCTTATACCCATATAGAGGGATTAGTTCAAAAGCCTGTCACTACTCATTCTCAAGCTAATAGCAGTGCTAGACCTCGAAATATGCAAGCAGCGGGTTCGAGTGGAGCTAATCAGGCTGGTGGGTCAAGAGCTACTGCACGAGTTTATGCTATGAGACCGAAGAATGACCGGGATGGCCCAGACGTGGCTGCTGGTAAATTTCACTTATTTGGCATATCTGTTGTTACACTATTTGATCCTGGATCTTCACAATCTTATGTTTGCTCATCACTTGCATTTCCTGATACTGTTAAATCTGGGAGACTTGACTTTAATGTGCTGGTCACGAGTCCATTAGGTCAGCAGGCTGTTATTAACAGGATTTACCGAGATTGTCCATTCATGATTCAAAATCTAGTCTTCCCTGCCGACTTACTTGAAATGCCCTTCCAAGACTATGATGTTATTGTTGGCATGGATTGGCTCCATAGGAACCATGCAGTGGTTGATTGTAGGTTGAAGTAAGTGACATTTAGAACTCCTGCACATTCACACATAGTAGTTCAAGGAGAAAGATCATTGACATCTAATATTATTTCGGCAGTCTTGGCAAGGAAGATGATTTGTCAAGGTTGTGATGTCTATCTTGTTCATATAGTCGATACACGAGTGGGGAGTCCAAGTCTTAAGGACATACCAACTGTGTGTGACTTTCCTGATGTATTTCCTGATGATCTTCCTGGGTTGCCTCCAGAAAGGGAGATTGAATTTCCTATAGATCTTGTCCCTGGAACTACTCCTATTTCTATCGCTCCGTATAGAATGGCTCCAGCTCAATTAAAAGAGTTGAAGGCTCAATTTCAAGAACTTCTTGAGAAAGGTTTCATCCGTCCCAGTATTTCACCTTGGGGACCTCCTGTTTTATTTGTGAAAAAGAAAGATGGCGCTCTTAGGCTTTGTATTGATTACCGACAGCTGAACAAGGTAACAATCAAGAACAAATACCCACTACCTAGAATCGATGACTTGTTTGACCAACTAAAGGGTGCCAGCTTATTCTCAAAAATTGACTTGAGGTCTGGATATTATCAGTTGTGTGTGAGGGAGCAAGATGTTCCTAAAACTACTTTTAGGACCAGGTATGGCCATTATGAATTTTTGGCAATGCCATTTGGTTTGACAAATGCTCCTGCTGCATTTATGGATCTAATGAACCATGTATTCAAGCCTTATCTCGATCAATTTGTGGTGGTATTAATTGATGACATTTTAGTCTATTCCAAGAATAGAGAAGATCATGATAAGCATATCTGAATTGTCATGCAAATTCTGAAAGAGAGACAACTCTACGCGAAGCTTTCCAAATGTGAATTCTGGCTGAATGAAGTGGCTTTTTTAGGGCACATTGTATCATCTGAAGGTGTGAAGGTTGATCCTAGTAAGATTCAAGCTATTGTTGATTGGAAACTCCCTAAAACTCCAACTGAGATAAGAAGTTTCTTGGGTTTAGCAGGATACTACAGAAGGTTTGTGAAGGGCTTCTCTATTATAGCTTCTCCCTTGACCAAACTTTTGGGGAAAGACGCCAAATTTGTATGGGATGACAAGTGTCAAGAGAGCTTTGAAAAGCTCAAATCCTTGTTGACACAAGCTCCAATACTTTCTTTGCCAGCTGAAGGAAAAGATTATGTGGTATACAGTGATGCATCTCATCGTGGCTTGGGTTGTGTTTTGATGCAAGAAGGGAAAGTAATTGCTTATGCCTCTCGAAAGTTGAAATCACATGAGTTGAATTATCCCACTCACGATCTTGAACTTGCTGCCATTGTTTTTGCCTTAAAAATTTGGAGGCATTACTTATACGGAGAGAAGTGTCACATATTTACTGATCACAAGAGTTTGAAGTACTTGGGTACACAAAAAGAGTTAAACTTGCGACAACGTAGATGGCTTGAACTCATCAAAGATTATGATTGCACGATTGATTATCATCCTGGTAAAGCCAATGTGGTTGCAGATGCGTTGAGTCGCAATTCCCTTGCAAGTTTAACTCTAAGTCCTTTGTCTTTGCTTCTTGAATTAAGAGCCATGAATGTTTGTCTTTCATTTAATTCTAATGGTTCTATCATTGCTAATTTGCAAGTCAAGCCAGTCTTACTTGAGCAAGTCCAAGAAGCACAGAAGTTAGATGAGAAGCTGGTGAAACGGGTTGAAGAAGTCCAAAATGGAAGAGAATCAAATTTTTCATTAAGGAAAGATCGTACCTTATTTTATAAAAATAGGTTGTGTGTTCCTAATGATGATGAATTGAGAAAGTAGATCTTAATTGAAGCACATAGTTCACCTTATGCAATGCATCCTGGAGGTACTACAATGTATCGTACCATTAAAAAGCACTATTGGTGGAGTGGTATGAAGAAAGACATTGCAGAGTTCATTTCTAAATGCTTGGTATGTCAACAAATAAAGGCTGAACATCAAGTCCCAGCTGGTCTCCTACAACCTTTGTCAATACCTGAATGGAAATGGGAAAGGATAACGATGGACTTTGTTTCTGGACTTCCACGCACTCAAAGAAATCATGATGCAATTTGGGTCATTGTAGATAGACTGACTAAGAGTGCTCATTTCTTGGCAATCAGAATGGACTACTCACTGGAACGTTTAGCAGGAGTGTACATTAATGAGATTGTGAAGTTGCATGGAATCCCTATTTCTATTGTGTCTGATAGAGATCCGAGGTTTACATCCAGATTTTGGTCTAGCTTGCAAGAAGCTTTGGGTTCCAAGGTGAATTTTAGTACCGCTTTACATCCACAAACAGACGGCCAGTCTGAAAGGGTAATACAAATCTTGGAGGATATGCTTCGAGCCTGCATTATTGAGTTTAAGGTTAGTTGGGACAAACATTTGCCCCTAATAGAATTTGCTTATAATAATAGCTACCAATCAAGTATAGGCATGTCACCTTATGAATCTTTATATGGGAGAAAATGTAGAACGCCTCTTTGTTGGAATGAGGTTGGTGAAAGAAAATTTGTGGGTCCTCAGATTGTGCAACAAACTGAAGATAAGGTAAAAATAATCAAGGATCGTTTGAAAATTTCTTCAGACAGACAAAAGTCCTATGCTGATCTTAAAAGGCATGAAATTGAGCATCAGGTGAGCGATAAGGTATTTTTAAAGGTTTCTCCATGGAAGAAGATTATGAGATTTGGCCAAAAAGGTAAACTTAGTCCTCGATTCATTGGACCTTATGAAATACTTGAAAGAATTGGTCCGGTTGCATATAAGCTAGTTTTGCCACCTGAATTAGGTAAGATCCACAACGTCTTTCATGTTTCTATGCTTCGAAAATACCGCTCAGATCCATCTCATGTTCTTCCTATTGAGTCTATTGAGGTTAATCCTGATTTGACATATGAAGAAGAACCAATCCAAATCTTAGCGCGTGAGATAAAAGAGCTTAGAAATAAGAGAATCCCATTAGTGAAGATTCTTTGGAGAAATCATTCAGGCGAAGAAGCTACCTGGGAGCGAGAAGAGGATATGCGAGTCCAATATCCACATTTGTTTCGGGACTAGTACAAGGTAAATTTCGAGACGAAATTTTTTTTAGGGAGAGAGAGTTGTAACACCCCAAAATTTTTTACAATATTTGCATTCTTGATTGAGCATTTTTTTTATAACGAGGAAATATTTTACTTTGCACTTCCTAAATATAGAATGGTCAATATATGAAAATTTCTTACTTTAGGTTGTGTTAATATTGGCAATGAAGTTCCATGTTGTTGCTATATGTAACACTTAATATTATTTTGACGAGTTGTTAGTAAATATAGTATATAATTAAGTTTTGGGTTTCCAACTTTTTGTATTTAGCTAAGAATATTTAGTAGTTGGGGAACCATTTTATTTCATATCTGTCCATAAACTCCATATTCTTCTACTCTTCAGAAACAAAGAAGAATAACTATCTACCTCTCTCTCTCTTTCTATCTCTATCTCTCTATCTCTATCTCTCTCTCTCCTCCGTAAGAACAAGAAGCTGAAGTTTCATAAAAAAAACCATGGATTTCTACTAAATTAACGCACAAAATTCGTTTTTGGTGAAGATTAAGTTGCTCCTCTTGGTAAGTTTCTAAACTCGTTTTTATACTAGACACCTACTAGTATTTTCTACATATCGTTTTGTACAGAGCTCTGATTTAAGTGATCCAGGACTTTCTGGAAAGGTATTTCATAAATCTATAATTTTTATGAAGGAATCAAAATCTAGTTTTGTTGGTATATATATGAAAAAGGGTCAAAAAGTACAGGACAGGTGCTGCCCAGATTTTCAGTTCCTGAAATACTCCATGTACTGCTGTTAGTAAGTTTAGCATAAATTTTTGTTCAAAATTGATATGGTGATGATTCAAGATGTTCTGAAATGGCAAGACATAGATATACAACTTTTGTGAAGACTATAAAGTCTAGTTTGTCTGTATAGATCTTCAAAACTGAGTCATAACGCGGAATAGTGATATTGTCCAGAATTTCTGTTTCAAACGTTTTTGGGTAATTTTCACCAATATCATGTTTAGTTGACTTGTTAAATCACTGAACTTATTTGGATATTTGATTATGTATTTAAGGTATATAAACTCTTGAAAAAAATCAAAGGGGAAGTGTTTGAGGAAGTGGACATATTTGGTTTGTTTACGGCGTAGACGATTCGAACGTCCCCAAGTTGTGATTGAACTGTTTTGTGGTAAAACACCAAGGTTTGTGTATAAACTTGTACTCTTTTTGCTTGCTGGAAATATGTTGAAATAATCTAATATTTTATTTTTCTTGTCTTCGAATTATATTGTTATATTCAGATTATATCAAGTCTTGTAAGAAATTTGCTAAATCGCCCATTCGTACGGATTGTTTGATCATTTTGCATTCTTGTTGGGACTTTGTCCTTCTTGTGGCAGTGACTTGGTCACTCACTTGGCATGCCTCTTGATTCAGATCTTTTGCCATCTTGACTTTAGATTTGTAGTTCGTCTTGAATTATGGAACTTGTCCGTGTTAAGTACGAACTAGGAAGCCATTTTTAATATGGTTCTTGATTCTCTTGTCTATTGGGTTTTGACCCTACTTGATTTGGGGCTTTGGTCCATCTTGATATCTGATTATGCTTAGTGTGATGACATGACATACATATTGGGCGAAAAATGGATATTTGGTATACTTTCTTAAATTGATAATATACACTTTCTAGACTCTTGAACATTGTTATTGATATTTGGAAACACTTCAAAGTTTGATATTGGTATGTTTGATATATTTGTTCACTTGTTTTAATTATGTTAAATTGAGCTAACTATGACTGAAAAGGGGAATTGGAGAATTTAATGACTCCAAGCCTAAAGTTTATACACCACTACGTTTTATGCTTAGCGATAGTTGTTTTCTATAGTAGGAAATGTTCGGGATAAAATCTGAAGATGGCCAGGGTGAAGTAGTCTCTTTGGGAGAATTTATGGAGATCACATTTGC